TATAAAATATGTTTAATAGCATATTAACTTGTTATCAATTGTTGCTGTAAAGTTATATAGTTTTCCTAATTAGAATCTTTGAAAGATTGTGATATCAAAACTACAATACATGCAGTCACAGTAATACATTACATTTGATAACCATTGCCAGTGTGCAAGATGTAATAATATCTCAGCAAGTATGACATCAACTGTTTCACTGGATTCGAGTTTCCACACCACCTAATAAGTCACTCTAAATGGAATCGTCATCAAGTTTGTTCAGTTCAGATCGTCCCACAGATCCTGTATATGCAGTGTCACGTTATGACGTAAGCTATATTTACATTACGTTGTAGTCCGCAGTATTTATCTACTCCTGCAAAAGTTCTAGAAAACAAGCATGAACAAGGATGTGGGTTGATGGTTAAGTAATCATTTTAACCATAAAGATGAAACACTTGAGATTTTGATAAAACATTCACATCCTGAGCATTATTTGAAGTTTGACATATTCACTTATTACTATAAACTGTATAGCGAATCTTTCAAGTACATACCAATAAAACAATATCGTGTAACTGATGCTAGAGTTTGTTTACTTATATCTAATCATCAGTCACTGAATGTCAGTGTGGGAAAAAATAAACCAAGTGAAAACAACATATCGTTTGCAGAATAATCAGATTTGAGGGAGAGTTAACAGAGTGGATTTGTTTTGCTTTTGGGGCTTTTGTATTGTGGGGGTGGGAGTGTAACAGTTGCCATGGGAATGAGTGTTCCCCTGGATGGCTGTTCATTTGACCTTCACTGACCTTGACGGTGTCAAGAGTAGATGATCTACTCGTTTTGACCATCAAATAAACACTCCCCTTAAGTATACAGATTGTAGTTTGAAAGATTCAGTTGAGTGCCTACTGATTAAGATGCATGCAATTCTATGGCATAAAATTTAACAAATCACAATTCCCCAAAACACAGTATTGAAAAGGACAGAAGAAACTGATCTTTATCTTAAAGGTTTTGCTTAAAGTTTAGGTTTGTCATACAGAAGACCCAGGTTCAGTTCTAAATATGGTTAAAATGTGAAATCCATTTTAGGGACCGCTTCCATGGTGTAGTGGATAGAGTGTCTGACAGGCAAGCATTCGGCATTATGGGGATAAAACAAGAATTGGTTTGTTCAGAGTCCGTACACTGTGTCTGAGTAGGTTATCCATGTTAAACTGCAGCATTGTATCTCAACGGGCTAGCACTATAAAACCGTCATTAGTCCAGACTAGTAGTAGAGCAGCGACACTCATACATGCATTCATGATGCTGTAAAAGTGCAATAATCTGCGACGTCTCACCTCACCATACCTCACCTCACCTCACCTCACCTCACCTCACCTCACCTCACCTCACCTCACCTCACCCTTGGGCGGTTGGGTAGCCTGGTGATTAAAGCGTTCACTCGTCTCGCCCAAGATCCGGGTTCGATTCCCAACATGGGTACAATGTGCGAACCTTATTCTGGTGTCCCCTGCCGTGATATTGCTGGAATATTGCTAAAAGCTATGTTAAACCATACTCACTAAATAATTGTGTATCTAGAACATGCTAGAAGGTAAGAACGTCCTTTCAAGAATCAACAATTTGACAAACATTCTACCAATCCTCCATCATGCCTGTCACAACAACAAAAAAGCTCTTTTTCTTTGTATTCTCCATGATATGGCTGAAAAAGCACTCTCACTCTCTCTCACTCACTCACTCACTCACTCACTCACTCACTCACTCACTCACTCGCCCGTTTAAGAATAAACAATTTGCGTATCATTTGACCCACCAATCCTCCGTCATGCATGTCGCAGCAAAGGGAAAGTGTTCTCCTATGTGTATATATAGCACATACTTGCCTACCTGCTTGTCAGAGCTAACAACTGAGATGTACGCCTCATTACAAAGGCAATTACAACCTTTGTAGGTTCATTCATTGTTTGGACCAGTGTCGTGCTTGCAGTGCTTTGCCTTTGCAGCTGACCGCTGGTCAAGGATGTTAGCATCAAAGTGATTACATGTGTTGGTTATGAAGGCGAGGTTGTGTCGGAGTAATGAGTTTGTTCACGGCCTGAATGACAGTCAGGACAAACGGACTAATATTTGGAGAGCTGTATGTGCAGGTTGAGAGTACAGTGTTAAAGGGACTGTTGTAGCTTACTGTAATAAGTGTTGTGTTGGATGGCAGTTGGATGCAGCAGCGTTGGTTTGTAAACTGTTTTCACTCTTCACTGATTGATAAGACTTAATTTGTTTATGTTCACAGCTTGTTTTAAGTTTTGCTCCACTTTCACGATCATCCAGCCATATGGGGGCTTCTTGTAAGTAATTGCATCTGGACCAGACGATCCAGTGATCGTTATCATGAATCATGGTCTGACGTAGATTTGATGACACTATGGACCTATTAGAGAAACACTTTTTACAGTCATACATTACCAGCCTCGTCGTCGTCATCATCATCATCATCACTTTTCATTACTATTGGTCAAGAAATACCAGAAATATCTGGTCATATTGTTCAGAAACATGGGGTCATATAGGTCAAGAATTATATAATGGTGTGATATTGTTCAGATATATAGGGTCGACTTGTTTTGTTTTTGATCTTGTTCCTATCTTGTTTGTTCAACAAATACAAATGCAAATTGTCATGTCAGAAAAGTGACAGGAAAATCTAAGCATATCAGTTTTAAACCAACAGTGTTGTCTTCCATGTTATGTGTTGCAAAGCTGGATCTCCCCCCCCCCCCCCCCCCCCCCCCCCCCCGGGAACATTTATGTATACATTCCCACAGTCATCAAAATACAGACTGTAATGAATGTCAACATCGGCGACAGCGACAATTTAGTTTGTCAACTTTGTGTACACTCACCTTGACTCCGCCAATGCTGGCTACACATGGTGTACGTTTATTGCTACTCTGTCATCATGGTCATATGCGCAGCAAGTGTGCTGGCAAGAAATAGATCAAATTATTATCAAATGTTGAATTGAGAGAATCTTTGCTAACTGCTTTTAAAAAGAGATTCTTGTTGTCCCCGTTTGTTGAGAATTTCAAGAATAAATAAATTGCAAGTGATTCCATAGCATTTGATTGAGTAACCAAGCGACTTGGTGTGTTTTTATGCTCCCAAATCGGGGGGTGGGTGGGGGGTGGGGGTGAAGGCCACGCCCACCAGTGGACTACTGAAAGGTTGATGACCAAATGGGCGGGGCTTGTGTTGCATTAATGGGTTGAACGCTGGCACTGATTTCGTAAGTCTGTCTATATTTTCTTGTATGGTAATGATTAAATAAGCAGTCTGTGAAGTTTTTATTGTTGACATATCTATTTATGATAATCGACTCCAATTTGTTTTTGTTTTACACATTTTTTCAGCGTTAGACAATGGCATTAGTCCAACAGTCCTTGCCAAACTGCCCAATAGTTAAGGTATCATTAGGACTAGTAGAAATTTGCCATTTTTAAGGATATTGCTATGTGTTATCATTATAAGGACTTTATAGACTAAAACAGTTTCTATTGCTGCTTTTTACACACTAGTTATTATGTTTAACCTCCATAAATGCAAGGGGCCAAGGTGGCCAAGTCCTCTAAGGCGCCGTAATTCACTATGACTGTGGGTTCGAATCCTGGTTTGTCCTGATTTCTTCTCTAGGTTTGTCAGCACCACACCTGTGCTTGTGGGTTTCATCATAGTGATAAACGTCTGAGACCTGCATCACTTTGGGCTCCAACATTAGGCTGACACGCTGTGATATAACTGGAATAGTGTTCAAATTGGCGTTGAATGAAACTCGCTCACTCCACAAATGCAAAAATATTGAAGGCTGTTCTTAATGCTAATTACATGATTGGTTAGAGATATTCAAACCAAATCATTTGGTTGTATTACATAGTTTCTGAGGCACAATGGAAAACAACAAGAGTGAGGAGGAAAAGTAAATAGCTATGTGCCCATCAAACAAAAACTTTGACTAAAATGCAAGCAAAAAGATTTTTTATAGATATAATTCCAATCAAGCAAGTGCACAGTATTTAAATAATATTTTTTCAACTTTTTCAAAATTGTCAAGAAAAATGATTGAAGCATAATATGAAACGACGATTGTATAAATTCCTTTATTCTGGTTGCCTTAAGCGTACATCAAAGATACACAACGAAAGAGAAGGAAAAAACAGGTAGTCTGAAAAAACGAATGTTTTTTAATGTTTCTTGTTTTGTTTTCACAATTTTGTCGCTACTAACATGGAATTGATTTGTACACTATTCTTGTTACTTGCCTGACATGATCGTGACTAAGCCATTAGCTAGAGTTTAAGTTAATCTTTGGAAACATATCATTTTCAAATATTCACAACTGTTTGTTCGTGTGAGATTTGAAAGTTATCGTGACTGGTCAGGACTGGATGAAAACAGTAACCCATTTAGTCCATATTTCCAAATCTCACTTCGCGCCTGTAAGCAGTACTTATAAACAAATATGAACCAATACATATCTGATAAAGGATGTTACATAACAAACAGACTGCTTTATTTCGTCAGATAGATCTTGTGACAGAGTTGACATGGAAAGTCATGCCAGTGCCCCCAACAATAACATGATTAATCAATACCCCAATGTGAGCTCCACCTGACGTAACTGAACTAGGTTAATAAGAGAATCGTGTCAGATGAGAGTGTAGGGGAAAAGGAGATTGATAAGCCTCAGATTGTCTACACAAAGACGACATTTCATATGACATCGTTTTTAGAACTAGGTGAACACGGAAGTGAGTCATGCTTGAGATTGTATGTAAGGAGTATGTGTGACTTGTACCCAGAGGAAATGCCTGGCCACCTACTCGCTGATGTGGGGGGATTCTGATGTAGATAGAGATCAGTCTGGTGGTTTGTGAAGTAGAGGAGACACTGTCTGTGGAGTATAGAAAACTGTGGTGTGTGAAGTAAGAAGACTGTGTCTGTGGTATGTGAAGTATTGGAGACAGTGCCTGCGGTATGTGAAGTAAGAAGTCTGTGGTATGTGAAGTATTGGAGACAGTGCCTGCGGTATGTGAAGTAAGAAGACTGTGACTTTGGTATGTGAAGTACTGGAGACAGTGTCTGTGGTATGTGAAGTATTGGAGACTGTGACTGTGGTATGTGAAGTATTGGAGACAGTGTCTGTGGTATGTGAAGTACTGGAGACAGTGTCTGTGGTATGTGAAGTATTGGAGACTGTGACTGTGGTATGTGAAGTATTGGAGACTGACTGTGGTATGTGAAGTAAGAAGACTGTGACTGTGGTATGTGAAGTACTGGAGACAGTGACTGTGGTATGTAGGTATTCGAGACATTGTCTGTGGTATGTGAAGTAAGAAGACTGACTGTGGTATGTGAAGTATTGGAGACAGTGTCTGTGGTATGTGAAGTATTGGAGACTGTGACTGTGGTATGTGAAGTATTGGAGACATTGTCTGTGGTATGTGAAGTAAGAAGACTGACTGTGGTATGTGAAGTATTGGAGACTGTGTCTGTGGTATGTGAAGTATTGGAGACATTGTCTGTGGTATGTGAAGTAAGAAGACTGACTGTGGTATGTGAAGTACTGGAGACAGTGTCTAAGGTATGTAGGTATTGGAGACAGTGTCTGTGGTATGTAGGTATTGGAGACAGTGACTGTGGTATGTGAAGTACTGGAGACAGTGACTGGTATGTGAAGTATTGGAGACAGTGTCTGTGGTATGTAGGTATTGGAGACAGTGACTGTGGTATGTGAAGTACTGGAGACAGTGTCTAAGGTATGTAGGTATTGGAGACAGTGTCTGTGGTATCTGAATTATTGAGCCATTGCTGTGGTATGTGAAGTAAGAAGACTGTGACTGTGGTATGTGAAGTATTGGAGACAGTGTCTGTGGTATGTGAAGTAAAAAGACTGTGTCTGTGGTATGTGAAGTACTGGAGACAGTGTCTGTGGTATGTGAAGTATTGGAGACAGTGTCTGCGGTATGTGAAGTAAGAAGACTGTGACTGTGGTATGTGAAGTATTGGAGACAGTGTCTGTGGTATGTGAAGTATTGGAGACAGTGCCTGCGGTATGTGAAGTAAGAAGACTGTGACTGTGGTATGTGAAGTATTGGAGACAGTGCCTGCGGTATGTGAAGTAAGAAGACTGTGACTGTGGTATGTGAAGTATTGGAGACAGTGCCTGCGGTATGTGAAGTAAGAAGACTGTGACTTTGGTATGTAAAGTATTGGAGACAGTGTCTGTGGTATGTGAAGTATTGGAGACAGTGTCTGTGGTATGTGAAGTAAGAAGACTGACTGTGGTATGTGAAGTAATGGAGACAATATGATATGTAAACATGGTGAAGCACAGGTAGTTTCCTTTTTGTAATTTTCTTGTGCCTCCTCTCTGCGACTGTTGACCTCTGGTTAGTGTGTCATGGGTGGAGTACTGACAGATGTTGCTGTGACAATCCATTGCTGGCAGGATGACCCATTAATTCTCTCACTCTCACTGACAATGTCCTTGTTACTCACATACTTGAATCGTGTCTCAGTGCAGGATCTCCTGAAGTAGGATCATCATCACTACCCATGTCAGAGTTGGAATGAAAGGGGGTCCAGGTGTTGCCATGGTTACATAAAGATCCATTGACTCTTATACTCAAATGTCATTGAAATTGATGTAAATATTAGCGCAAAACCCTTTCCATACTCATCAGAAATGAATGAAATGTACGTGATGTTTCTGGACACAAACATCACTGGGACATTTTGATAGGACTTTCTGTATCATCACCTATTTGAAAAAAAATCTGAGGACATTTCAGATGAAAATCCCCCAATGAAAAATCGGCCGAAAAAGTGAACTGATCTAGTGGACCGAACCTTTTAGTGGATGGTTTGGTCCATGACATGTTTTTAGTAGATATTAGAAATCCTTTGCATAAATATCCAGTAATCACATGGTAATTAAGCAGATGCTAATTTAACACTAACACTGGACCCAGATGTTGTTCCACTGGTGACATGCAACAGTTTGATACGTCTCCCATGAGGAGTATGATTAACGTGTGTCTCAGTTCCTGTCATGGAAGGCCTGCCAGAATGATGGCACTCAGGTGTGCTTGCTCCTCACAAGCCTTGCTTATAGCCGCGCGAGGAAATGGCGTCCCATTTCAAACAGTGTGGCACGGGGGATATAGCCACCAGTGCAAGATGGGTTGTATTACTCATGACTGATGCCATTTCCACCCATCTCGCGATGATCACAGCCCAGGTATAAGGAAGTGGTCGGGAAAATACCTGGGATAGTTGTGAGGAAATAGATAGGTCATCGCTGCTTGGGAATGAGGATTATGTGGAAATGTGAAGCGCTTATTGTGACTTATATGCTGATTGTGTATTGTGGGTTCTGTCAGTTTGGGATATTTTCACCAATATCGAGGTCAGAGCTGTTGCAAGGTACGTGTGTGAGGTCAGGTGTTACCTCGGACAGTTTGGAGGTAAATGGGTGACTTTCCGTGTGTGGTCACATGTTGAAGGGTGTTTGTTTTATTTGGGTTGCTATTGAAATGTGAAGTGGTTATTTGGACGAGTCTGGTAGCAATATTTCTTAAAACTGAGACAATGTTACTTACAACATCAACATGAGAACTGTTACATAAGACCGTGGACATTCCTCAGCTGGCTTGTGGATGGATGGGTGCATGTGAACAGCTTTATCGTTCCACAGAACACCTCCATTGTGTCGGAGGAGGTCTAGGAGGATGTGTTGTTTAGGCTGGAACAGATGGTAGCAATTTTGAATCCTAGGCTGTTTGACGTAACTAAAATTCTTAAAGTGAAGGAATGTTTAATTCCTGAATCCGGTGTAAGTACATATGCTTGACTCCCTGAGATCGAGAATAACTGTAAGTATGAGTTTCTAGGAAATTCAGAGCTATGAAAGCTATGAAGTCTAAAGATTAACCATATTTCGGTGCTATTGTTTCCTGGTGGAGGGTGTGGCGCTGTGATGCTAATGGTAACAACAGTGTTTCAGAATCTAGGGAAGAATAACAATGTACCCTCAGTGACCAGGGGGAGCTTCACCAGCTCACACACTCGCAGAGAAGGCTCTCTGGCATAGCCATGATGTTAAAACTTAAATATATACTGGGGTTATTAAATTCCGGTGTCAATAAACCTGAAGGATCCAGTTGATTGTCAGGTGAAGATTGTGGTTATGCCACACGAGTAATCTCAGGTAGGGCAGGTATCAGGTATGGTATGTACGGTATTCTGGGCGGTACAACTTGCAAGGGAGGGTATTTCCTGTTACTTTGTGAACGTGCCTACCTACCTACCTACCACTTTTGTGTGTGTGTATGTGTGCGAGTGGTGTGTGTGAGAGAGAGAAAGAGATGGGAAGACGGAAATGAGATGGGAAGACAGGGTGAGATGGAAAGAAAGAAAATGAGATGGGACGACAAAGTAAAGTGGGAAGACAGGGTGAGATGGGAAGACAGAAAGTGAGATTGGAAGACAGAAAGTGAGATGGGAAGACAGAAAGTGAGATGGGAAGATAGGATGAGATGGAAAGAAAGAAAATGAGATGGGACGACAGGGTGAGATGGGAAGACAGGGTGAGATGGGAAGACAGAAAGTGAGATGGGAAGACGAGTGAGATGGGAAGATAGGATGAGATGGAAAGAAAGAAAATGAGATGGGACGACAGGGTGAGATGGAAAGACAGGGTGAGATGGAGAGACAGAAAGTGAGATGGGAAGACAGAAAGTGAGATGGGAAGACAGGGTGAGATGGGAAGACAGAAAGTGAGATGGAAAGACAGGGTGAGATGGAAAGACAGAAAGTGAGATGGGAAGACAGGGTGAGATGGGAAGACAGGGTGAGATGGAAAGACAGAAAGTGAGATGGGAAGACAGAAAGTGAGATGGGAAGACAGGGTGAGATGGAAAGACAGAAAGTGAGATGGGAAGACAGGGTGAGATGAGAAGACAGGGTGAGATGGAAAGACAGAAAGTGAGATGGGAAGACAGAAAGTGAGATGGGAAGACAGGGTGAGATGGGAAGACAAAGTGAGATGGAAGACAGGGTGAGATGGGAAGACAGGGTGAGATGGGAAGAAAGAAAGTGAGATGGGAAGACAGGTTTAGATGGGAAGACAAAGTGAGATGGAAAGACAGGGTGAGATGGGAAGACAGGGTGAGATGGGAAGAAAGAAAGTGAGATGGGAAGACAGGGTGAGATGGGAAGACAGGGTGAGATGGGAAGACAAAGTGAGATTGAAAGACAGGGTGAGATGGAAAGACAGAAAGTGAGATGGGAAGACAGGGTGAGATGGAAAGACAGAAAGTGAGATGGGAAGACAGAAAGTGAGATGGGAAGACAGGGTGAGATGGAAAGACAGAAAGTGAGATGGGAAGACAGGGTGAGATGACAAGACAGGGTGAGATGGAAAGACAGAAAGTGAGATGGGAAGACAGAAAGTGAGATGGGAAGACAGGGTGAGATGGAAAGACAGAAAGTGAGATGGAAAGACAGGGTGAGATGGAAAGACAGAAAGTGAGATGGGAAGACAGGGTGAGATGGGAAGACAGGGTGAGATGGAAAGACAGAAAGTGAGATGGGAAGAAAGAAAGTGAGATGGGAAGAAAGAAAGTGAGATGGGAAGACAGGGTGAGATGGGAAGACAGGGTGAGATGGGAAGACAGAAAGTGAGATGGGAAGACAGGGTGAGATGGGAAGACAGGGTGAGATGGGAAGACAAAGTGAGATGGGAAGACAGGGTGAGATGGGAAGACAAAGTGAGATGGGAAGACAGGGTGAGATGGAAAGACAGGGTGAGATGGGAAGACAAAGTGAGATGGGAAGAAAGAAAGTGAGATGGGAAGACAGGGTGAGATGGGAAGACAGGGTGAGATGGGAAGACAAAGTGAGATGGAAAGAAAGAAAATGAAATGGGAAGACAAAGTGAGATGGGAAGATAGGATGAGATGAGAAGACAGGGTGAGATGGGAAGACAGGTTTAGATAGAAAAACAGGGTGAGATGGAAAGACAAAGTGAGATGGGAAGATAGGGTCAGATGAAACCTCATCATTGCCCGAAGTTTAAAGTTTAAAGATTTAGGTATACTATATACAGCCTCATCTTGAACATAAATTATTTGTTGTTTTCTGTAGTGAGTCTTACTGATAGAGAACCTTACTGATACTCTGGTTGACAATCAGCATGTAGGGCTGTTATAGTTTGCTGCGACCACACTGAAAGAGACTACATGTGATGATGTTATTCAAACTCACTGCAGGGGGTATAATCATGTTGTGTAAACTCTTTTTCTCCCCTTCAAAAAGTTCATCATCATATGGGAGTCACAAAGGCAAACGTTTTGAAGAGCAAAGAGCCTGTGAGTGCAGTAGCCAAGTGTTGGTGCATGATGTTCATGGCGTCGAGGTCCGCAAAGTTGGGTGTAAAGTCATGTCCGTTCTCCAGGAGAGAAGAAAAGGCTCCAATACGCTATCGCCCTGACCTTGCTTAAAGTCGCGGCAAGCACACCACATACACAAAAACAAATACTATGTTTGTCGCGAAAAACTCTTTGTTAAAAAGATGGTGGTAAACTGTTTGTGGTAACTTTGCGACAAGCTTTTGACGATTGAATGCTGCTGCAAGTTTTTCTCATAAGATGTGTGTTGTGGATGACTGTCAAATAATGAGTGAAGCATTCGGGGGGGTTATTTCAGCCGAGGAATGTGTTATATTTAGTGAGACTTTGTCAGGCTGGGGACAATCTGTTTAAGGATTTGGAAGTCAACATTTTTTAATTGGTTAGATTTGATGGTACTGTGCTATTGCGATGTGGCAATAGATTATGTGACTTGAGTTGTGACATTGGCTGTGATATTCTGACCAGACTGGGCTCCACTTGCCTTTGTTTGAAGAGTATGTTGTAACCTTGGATTTCTCATGTTTGCTTGTATTGTTTGTCGTGTGTGTGTACGGTTGTTTGGAAGGCAGTATCTATGTTCTTACAAGGAAGTTTGTCATGCCTTCTGTTGGGTAATGGACAATGGACTTTGATACAAGTAAAACGTAAATCTTATTGTAACAAAATTGACAGTTACAGAAATTTGGAATGTTGTGATAAGATTGAAATTGTTTAGATGTGTAGGGTTTGATTTGATGTATGAAAATTGGTTGAGATGGGAAGAAAGGATGAGATGGGAAGACAGAAGGTGAGTTTGAAGGACTGGGTGAGATGGAAAGACAAGGTGAGTTCGGAAGACAGAAAGTGAGATGAAAGACAGGGTGAGATGGGAAGACAGGGTGAGATGGAAAGACAGAAAGTGAGATGAAAGACAGAAAGTGAGATGGGAAGACAGGGTGAGATGGAAAGATAGAAAGTGAGATGGAAGACAGGGTGAGATGGGAAGACAGGGTGAGATGGAAAGACAAAAAGTGAGATGGAAGACAGGGTGAGATGGGAAGACAGAAAGTGAGATGGGAAGACAGAAAGTGAGATGGGAAGACAGAGTGAGATGGGAAGACAGAAAGTGAGATGGGAAGACAGGGTGAGATGGAAGACAGAGTGAGATGGAAGACAGGGTGAGATTGGAAGACAGGGTGACATGGAAGACAGAGTGAGATGGGAAGAAAGAAAGTGAGATGGAAGACAGGGTGAGATGGGAAGACAGGGTGAGATGGGAAGACAGAAAGTGAGATGGAAGACAGGGTGAGATGGAAGACAGAGTGAGATGGGAAGAAAGAAAGTGAGATGGGAAGACAGGGTGAGATGGGAAGACAGGATGAGATGGAAAGACAGAAAGTGAAATGGGAAGACAGAGTGAGATGGAAAGACAGGGTGAGATGGGAAGACAGGGTGAGATGGAAGACAGAGTGAGATGGGAAGACAGGGTGAGATGGGAAGACAGAAAGTGAGATGGAAGACAGGGTGAGATGGGAAGACAGGGTGAGATGGAAGACAGAGTGAGATGGGAAGAAAGAAAGTGAGATGGGAAGACAGGGTGAGATGGGAAGACAGAAAGTGAGATGGGAAGACAGAGTGAGATGGAAGACAGGGTGAGATGGGAAGACAGGGTGAGATGGAAGACAGAGTGAGATGGGAAGAAAGAAAGTGAGATGGAAGAAAGAAAGTGAGATGGGAAGACAGGGTGAGATGGAAAGACAGGGTGAGATGGAAAGACAGGGTGAGATGGGAAGACAGAAAGTGAGATGGGAAGACAGGGTGAGATGGGAAGACAGAAAGTGAGATGGGAAGACAGAGTGAGATGGAAGACAGGGTGAGATGGGAAGACAGGGTGAGATGGAAGACAGAGTGAGATGGGAAGAAAGAAAGTGAGATGGAAGACAGGGTGAGATGGGAAGACAGGGTGAGATGGAAAGACAGGGTGAGATGGGAAGACAGAAAGTGAGATGGGAAGACAGGGTGAGATGGGAAGACAGGGTGAGATGAGAAGACAGGGTGAGATGGGAAGACAGAAAGTGAGATGGGAAGACAGGGTGAGATGGGAAGACAGGGTGAGATGGGAAGAGAGAGTGAGATGGAAGACAGGGTGAGATGGGAAGAGAAAGTGAGATGGAAGACAGAGTGAGATGGAAGACAGGGTGAGATGGGAAGACAAAAAGTGAGATGGGAAGCCGGGTGAGATGGGAAGATGCAGTATATGCACTGTTTGATGTGATCTTGTTTAGATTTAATGTTTGATAGACATTACTTAGAAGTTGGCAGATGACAAAGTAGACACAATTTATGGATGGACTGTGTCTTGCTTGACAACAGTATAACTATAAGGATCTATACCGAAACATCGCCTTTAAAGTAATTAAAGAAGTTGTTGTCCATAAATTGTGCCTACTTCGTCTAGTTTTGATTGTTTCACAAAACTCATGTCACCAATGCCAGCAAGTTATCAGCTGTATGAAGACTTGAACTGAGAACATTGTGGTTGCAGTCTGTTCAGCCATTCCGGATTTGTCTGGCATGCTTGACACTAAGTTGAACGTTGTCTGTTTCAGAAATGGAAACGTCGGTTCTTTGTGCTGTTCAAGCCATCAGGTAGCTTGCCGGGCCAGTATGAGTTGAGTTACTTCAACGATGAGCATTGTAGCAAAAAGAAGGGCTCCATCGACTTGGACCAGTGTGAACAGATCATCGAGTCTCTGGACTCCGACCAGTTCAACTACCTGCTGGCCATCAAGACATTCTGTCGCGGCAAGGAACGCACCTACTTTTTAGCTGCAGACTCTGAGGAAGACATGACAGCCTGGGTACGCAACCTGTGTGGAGCCTGTGACCTCAAGCAGGAAGAGAGCCGTGAGTTGTCTCCCTTACATGCTTCCCTTTTGAACCACTGTGTCCAGAATGTGTAATCACAGGAACATTGTTCCAGCTCTGTGTGGTAGGGCTCTGTTTATGTGTGAAGTTGTTCTACAGTTGTTTGTTGTGTGGTTGTTGGTGTGGCTGTTGTGTGGCTGTGGATGCTGTTGTGTGAATGAAGATGCTGTTGTTTGCTTCGAGATGTTGCTGTTGTGGTTGTAGATGTTGGTGTTGGGTGGTTGTAGATGTGTCTGTTGTGTAGATGTTGGTGTTGTGTGGGTGTAGATGTTGGTGTTGGGTGGTTGTAGATGCTGCTGTTGTGTGGGTGTAGATGTTGCTGTTGTGGGGGTGTAGATGTTTCTGTTGGGTGGGTGTAGATGTTGCTGTTGGGTGGGTGTAGATGTTGCTGTTGTGTGGGTGTAGATGTTGTGATTGTAGATGTTGCTGTTGTGGGGGTGTAGATATTTCTGTTGGGTGGGTGTAGATGTTGCTGTTGTGTGGGTGTAGATGTTGTGGGTGTAGATATTTCTGTTGGGTGGGTGTAGATGTTGCTGTTGTGTGGGTGTAGATGTTGCTGTTGTGTGGGTGTAGATGTTGCTGTTGTGTGGGTGTAGATGTTGTGGTTGTAGATGTTGCTGTTGTGGGGATGTAGATGTTTCTGTTGGGTGGGTGTAGATGTTGCTGTTGTGTGGGTGTAGATGTTGCTGTTGTGTGGTTGTTGGTGCGGATGTTGTGTGGTCGTAGATGTTGTGGTTGTAGATGTTGGTGTTGTGTGGTTGTAGATGTTGGTGTTGTGTGGGTTGGTGGTTGCTGTGGCTGTTGATGGATAATGATGAATGTGAACGTTGATATATGGTCACATGGACCTCAGTGTACACATGGTTGGTACACTATTCAGCACATGGGTACAGACCACCTCCGTGGTCAAGTGGTAGAGCGTCCACCCAGAAAGTGGAAGATCCAGGTTTTGATGTAAAAAGATGGTACTTGTTACCCTGCCTGGCGCTCAGCATTAAGGGGCTAAAACAAGGACTGCTCGTCTCGGAGTCTGTATACTCTGTCTGAGTGGGTTATTCATGTTAACTGCAGCATTATGTCTCAGTGGGCTAGTACTTTAAAATCAGCATCAGTCCGAACTAGTACAAGCAGCAACACTCACATGTACATGCACATCGCTATATAAGTGCAATAGTCTTGACCGCGATGTTGAGCCCCATTTCACCTCACATGCTTCAGTTTACACATTAGTGTGTGGAGCGGTGGAAAATCTTTATTGCCTGTGGGCATGTGAAACAATAGCTTTTTAAAAGTAACCAAGGGCCACTTGTAGTGTCCCATCCTGACCTATAATTTTGTATCTTTCAGCCACTGATATACCCCCCGAGCAGCAGCAACAGCAGCAGCAGCAACAGCAGACATCCAGCTTGTCAGGAACATCCCCGCCTACAGTGTCGTCTAACGGCAATGCTCACCATATAGCAACCACTGCTCACCACATAGCAACCAGCCAACCTGTGTCTATCAGTGCCTCCCTGAAGACTCCCCCCGCCCCTACCAATGTCTCCACCTCCCCCTCCTACATCCCCCTCAACACCTGCAGAAGTGGCTCACAGAAACAGCGGCAGACACTGCCCAAATATGAAAGGCGAGAAAGTGTGGACAGTGTGCCTGAGGAGGTGGCGCCCCCTCCCCCAGACAAGGGAGGTAAATCCCATGGGATTCGGGACAGCCAGGAAGACAGTGTATTCATCTCTGATGTCTACGACGTACCACCGAATCACAATGCAGACGACCTGTACCAGGTTCCACCTCGTCGTCCGTACGGCGGCGGGCAGATGGAGGACTTCAGCCACGGCCTGGCGTACGATGTGCCGCCAAGACGTGGAAGCCCGAGCACCCCAAGGTCCAGCGGAAGTGACAAAGCATCCATGGGTCGCCCCGTGACACCCCAAGACTTACAACCTACCTACGATACACCTCCAGCCCGGCCGACCTCCAGTGGCTCAGGGTCTGGCTCAGGGTCACTACCAGACCAGACTCCTCCCCGGCCACCAAGACCAGCAACATTGAATCAGACTGTATATATGAATGTGCCCAAGAATAGCAAATCATTCAATAATTTAGATCTTTCAGCTGTGCCTAGTGCCCCCAAACCCCCTGAGCGGCCTCTTCCGTTAGACAGTTACGACATCCCCCGCTCAGGTTCCGTGGGGTCTCGTGTCACCTCTCTAAATGTGGCACCCCCACCCCCCAAGAGCTGCAGCACCCGGAATGTTCACAAATACATGAACGCTGCAGAGGGCGTGATGCAGAGCCCAAAGACTGATAGTACGTATGTGCCAATGGACAAATCCGACTCCACTAAGGAGACTGTGTACACAGACATGGACGTGGTTTACACAGACATGAAGATGTCGGACATGCGGATGTCGGAGAGGATGTCCAGTCTGTACCAGTCTCCACCCCCATGTCGGATACCCCCCAGGACAAATAGCTCCGTCGTCCGAGCCCCTCACTGCCCCAACCCAGGTGAGCTTTACCTACCAAAGTTTTCACATCTCCTGAGGGGAGGATTCCGAGTTAGAACTTTGGTCTCCAGCAACCTATGCATGTCATAATAAGACATGACCAAATGGATCGGGGGGTCAGACTCGTTGACTTGGTTGATAGTGTGTCCTCATACCCCGATGGTATGGATCGTTGCTCACAATTCTATCACTGGATTGTCTGGTCCAGCCTTGATTAATTACAGGTGGATGTCACATTGCTGAAATATTGCTGGGTGTGGCATTAAACTACAAACAAACAAATTATATTACAACAGTTTTGGGTCTTCTTTAATGAGGTTTGCCGTGAAGATCCGGGGTAGAATAGGTCTTCAGCAAACCATGCTAGCCGTAAAAGGCGACTAACGGGATCAGGTGGTCATGCTTGCTGACTTGGTTGATGCATGTCATCGATCCCAATTGCCATGGATCGATGCTCATGATATTAATCACTGGATTGTCTGGTCTAGACTTGATTATTTACAGACCGCCATCATATAGCTGGAATATTGCTGAGTGCGGCGTTAAACAACAAACCAAATTTAATGAGGTTTGATTTAGATTAGTACTGTAGTGGCACATTAGTGAACAATATAGGTCGAGATATGGGACATAGGAGACCCAGAAACATTGGTTGGTAACCCGTATGACAAAACATGAGAACTCCTGTACATATTGTCAGAAAACAGTATTTACACTTTCATGCTCACAGTGAGGCTCATGTCTGCATTATACATTCATGTCGGTATAACCTCTCATTGCAGTACTCAAGCACAATTCTTTCTATGTCGATACAGCCAAATAAAATGAAAATTGACAGCTGACAAAAGTTACCAAATTGGAAATGAATTAAGATTTCTTCTTTTCTTAATAGTATAAAAATATTTAGGATTTGACTATCATCTTGCTCATTTCAGCCTGCTTATCCATGATGATAAATGTTTGTATGTGAAGTTGAAGTAATGTTGATAATGGAAGCTGGTGGAGTGTGTGAGGCAGAGAGAGCTGTCTGTCAGTTCTTGTGGACCTGATGGAGAGCAGACTTCCTTCAGGTCATGCTTAATTCTAGGTCAGAGTTGTCAGGGAAATTAAATGTTGGTGATTGTTGGAAAAAGTCAAGATCAGGGATTATCAGAAAAAGTCAAGGTCAGGGATTGTCAGAAAAAGTCAAGGTCAGGGATTGTCAGAAAAAGTCTAGGTCAGGGATTGTCAGAAAGATTCAAGATCAGGGATTTTCAGAAAAATTCAAGGTCAGGGATTTTCAGAGAAATTCAAGGTTTGGGTTAGAGATATTCAGGGTTGTTGATTGTCAGAGAAATTCAAAGTTTGGGGTTGTTAGGGTACTTGAATGTTTGCGGGGTTGCTAGGGTACTTGAAGGTTGGGAGTTGTTTAGGGGACATTTGCTGTTTGCTGGGTATTTTGGCAGTTGAAAGGGTCGGTTGACATGTTGATTGTTTTGGTATTAGTTGAGTTGACAGCCAGGTGTAGATGGTCACCTGTCTTGTCCGACCTCCTGTAGTTGTGGGGATGTACTTATGTCGGAGAATTTGCTGTCTGTCAACAGGTCATAACCACAAGCATCAGCATCGTCATCCCCATCATATGCACCACCATCACCTCCCACAACATCTCTGTACAGGTTGGTACTGTCTGCAGATGCTTTATGTGATGGTGTTGTTCATGGCACATTGCCATTGTTCAGGGCATGTTGCTGTTGTTCATTGCATGTTGCTGTAGTTCAGGGCATGTTGCTGTAGTTCAGGGCATGTTGTTGTAGTTCAGGGCATGTTGCCGTTCAAGGCATGTTGCTGTTGTTTCATTGCATGTTGTTATAGTTATGGCACATTGCCGTTGTTCAGGGCGTGTTGCTGTTCAGGGCATGTTGCTGTTCATTGCATGTTGTTGTAGTTCAAGGCATGTTGTTGTAGTTCAAGGCATGTTGCCGTTGTTCATGGCATGTACATTGCATGTTGCCGTTGTCCAGGGCATGTTGTTGTAGTTCAAGGCATGTTGTTGTAGTTCAAGACATGTTGTTGTCTAGGGCATGTTTCTGTTGTTCAGTGTTGTGCTTAGTGTAGAGGCATGTTGTTTTTCAAAGCATGTTGTAGGTGTACATGGCATGGCTGCAGATCAAGGTATAATGGTGGGCTGTCAGGGGTTTCAGGGGGCACGGGTGGCCCAGTCGTCTAAGGCACAGAGATTCCCTGTGCAGAGTCGCGTCCCTTGGGCATGCCAGAAACCTATGATTGTGGGTATGAATCCCGGTTGCCCCGATTATGTTTCTAGGTTTGTCAGCACTACACCCGTGCTCGTGGGTCTCACTGAAGTGGTAAACGTCTGAAACCTGCATCACTTCGGGCTTTCCTCCCACGTTAAGCTGACACGCCGGGATATAACTGGAATATTGTTAAAAGCGGTGTTAAACCCAACTCACTCACTCACTCTTGGGGGTTACCTACCTACTGCTTTGTATGGTCTAAGGGAGGTAACAACTGCATTTGTATGAACTAAGGGAGGTAATTCTGCATGCATGTTCTCCTTACCCTGTCAGTGTACTGAATGTTGTCAAGTACAAACCTTTGTTTTGTAAAATGTTGTTGATGAAATTTCTTAAATGGTAATGCATATCAACAACAGAAATGTGTTACTATTATTAATAACTTAATGATTATTATTTTTGAGTACCACTATGAGACTTTGTTGAATCATTGTCATTATTGGGCATAATTAAGATAGGGTTATGCCTCAATATGTCGTTTTTCCAAACTGGACATGGACAAATAGTTGGAAACTACCCAGATATTGTACAAAACATTATACTTGCTGGGCAACACGTGATGTGAATTTCAGTTTGTTTGAATCAAAAGGAAAATGTTGGACATATCGGAAAAGTTTCCATTTTCCAAACACATAAAGAAGATGTTAGGTTTCTGAGATATGTTTCTAAAATAACAATACTAGTACATGAATAGTGCGTTGAAACCTCATCTCAGTGGTTACGTTTGTAATTTCTAGGCTTCATTTGGTTGACTTAGTTTTTTTAGAAGCAATAGCAGTCAGTCTTCTTTTTCCAATATGACACATCAATCTGATCATAAAAGACGTTGGCTATATGAACCTGAAAATTATGTCTGACAAGCCTATGACCAATTACCTCAAACTTTTCCTGGGAACTTGGTCCATAAAAGGAATAACTCCTTTTTCCTTAGTTTTGTGATGTTCGTAGAAATGAGTTGTGCTGTAGTTTCTACACATTTGTACATTCTAATCCAATTAAAAGTCACAAAAATGATATTAAATAAACAAAATAGTAGTTTGTAATTCAATATTTTCTTGGACATTGCACATATTTTCTACAACAAGTGCGTTTAGTTTTGAATTATGGCCCATCTCAAACTTTTGTTAGGTCAAGCAGAGCTAACTCCCTTTTTGAACCACCGATAATGTGGTTTAGCCAATAAAGCTTTTGTAAGGAAATCATACTAAGTTAATTTTCCGAAAGTATTATAGACTTAAGATACAGTAAGAATGTCATAAATCTCAAGATAGCTCCATGAAGATTTGTTACAGAAACACTTGAAGTATAAGCATGTGAATAAGAAGCTTTGTGTAGTCGTATTAGAGCAAGTCTTTAGCAGAAAAATATGTGCTGAAACCCTTGCGATATGAATATTTGAATACAATGCTACGCTATCTCCTCATTATCTGTATGCTTTGCTGTCAACAGTGTTTCCCTGCACCAGGCATGCTGCAGTAGTAATGTGGGAAGTTGGCATGCTACGTTATAACTGCGCTAGAATGCACACTAACCCTTCATTTTACAATTGTAAGGTTAGATTAAATCATTGAGATTTGAAAGATGCCATCTTAGACGCTGTTAAGTACTCTCAATACATGACGGCAGACATCCATTACATATTTGACTAAGACCAATCCTTGATGATGGCTATATCTGGTTATGTTTATCATTGTATGACTGACCACCTCCCGGGGAAAGTGGGTAGAGTGTCTGTCTGGAGAGTGGAAGGTGGGTTGTTTGATACCCTATCTGCGTCATACCAAATGACGCTCAGCTTAAAGTGGATAAAACAAGGACTGGTTTTCTTGGAGTCACTCAGTATACTGAATGTGCGTTCATGTTAAACTACAGCATGGTATCACAGTGAGCTAGCTCTATAAGACTGGTATTAGTCAAGTACAAGTACAAGCAGCCACACACATGCCGGGGAAGACCTACTTATCACCTGACTGAGTCAGTGTGTCAACCTAGCTGTGGTGTGGATCGATGCTCACAACATCAACCACTAGTTTGCATGCATCAGGTCGTCATGATTCATCATGTATATTGCAGAATGAACTTTCATTGACTATAACCTTGCTGAGTTGTGCTGACCTTCGCTTTGTATCTGTTCACAGATTCAGATACCTACGAGAATCAAATCTGGAGCTCTACTCGGACCAAGAGCTTCAAACGCAATGAGCAGAATCGGATCAACAACCATGGCAGTCCCAGGTGCGTCATGCTGTCCCTAGAGAAATATTTTCCTTGAAAAATTAATTCCAACTGTTTACTAAATGATCCTTCCATGACAGTGCCTTAATTCTGATGTCATCTCACTGTTATTTCTACCATTTCTACAGTAATGCGAGGAAGTCATTGTCAGTGTCGAAGCCAATTCTGCAGCTGCCTTCTAAGTATGACACCGTCTCTAGCTCTGATGAAGAGGAGGATGCTGATGGAGGGATTCATGTAAGTCACCTGGGTCCACTTGCTCAAAGTGATCTTAGCGCTAAGATAATCTTAACTCCGATACTTTAACATTGGCTTACAATGGTCTTAGCGCAAAGATCGTTTTGTGCAAGAGAGGCCTGGAATCTTGTCATGGTGTCCCGTAGTGTACGTCGCTGTTTTTGTTAGTGGCTGTGATAGAGGTGGAATATCACTGATGGTGGCACTAAACAACATCCATTCAAACAGCCTGTTAGTTCCACCTGTAACAGTTATAATGGTCACAGCTATACTGACACTTGTGGGCGTTTATCACTGACTGTAGGAGACAAAAGAAACCCAGTGCCTGTTGTCCAACTGTTGTCTTGTATATTCCAGCTGCCGAAGGGTATGCGTGCGGTACCGCCGCCGCCCCAGGTGTCGGAGGACAAGGAGTTGAAGTACCTGGATCTGGAACTGGATGAGTACACCCAGGAGACCAACACCCGGTCCCCATCCTCCGTCCACCTCCCCCACTCCACCCCCACCGAGTACCGCGAGATCGACTTTGTCAAGACGCAGGCTCTCAGCAACACCAAGAAGTGGAAGGATGAACACATGCATCATTAGTACCTGGTGCGTGGCCGATGCAGAGCTTTCTTCTCCCGTGTGGAGATATACATGAAGACTTCAGTCTGGGATGAAATGTACAGATCATGGTATCCTCAACTTCCATAAATGGAACTTGAAAGTTGAAACAAACTTCCTCAACCTGACAATACTTGGCTGTGTCTGTTGAGGGGAATTATCCATGTAAAGAACCCAGACTTGGAATTAAACTAGATTGTGTACAAGATGCATCAAACAAACGTTTAATCACAATAAGTCTTCAGGATTAAATTAAGGAGAATCATTTTATCCAAATTTGAGGCATTACGTTCACAAACTTACACTCATTATGTTCTTATGTTCATTTTACACTCTAGCAAATTGTAAATACTGTATACGTCTTTGTGTTGCGTACATCGGGTTATTTGAAATGAAACTGTCAAAGTCAAAGTATGCATCGGCCATGTTAGTTCAGTTGGTACCGTATAACGTCTCACTTGTTACTATTAGTACTGCACATAATGTAAATAGATTTCCTACATAATATTAATATATGATATCTTACACTTGTTATGTTGATAGCAGCTTGTTTAGGGCTGTGTAGGAACAGGTAAGGCTGTAGTACTTCATCTCTTTGTCAAAATCAGAAAGTGCTTCATCATCAGTTTTATGGTTTTAGCTATAGTGCTTACATTTTACAGAAGTTGTGCTCAAAATGTAATTACCGTAGTGGAATGTTACTCCGAATGACCCAATACATGCTGGTACACTGTTAAGGATAGGATGAGGATGAGTTATACATGTTTGCTGTGATATCACTATAATGGCTAGCTTCAATCACCTTTGTAGCAACCTTATTTTTCAATTTTCCAATGTTTTGATAATACTTTTGCTTCTACATTGTTTTGAGAAAGACCAGTATTTTTATCTCAGATATGATCTCTTTTTTTTCTCAATAAAATCTGCTGACTGCAGACTGAGTGGTTTGAATTTAGGGCTCAGGGCATCATCAGACAAGTACCGTATTTGACGTAATAAGTGCCCTGCTCTAATAAGCGCCCACGGCGACATTTGCAAATATATTGGCTAGTGAACAACAATCCCAATTAGCACCCCTTCCGATTGGTCAATGTACAATAGACTTATTTATTCGTGTATAATATGCACTCGTGTGTTATATGCACCCTTAATTATGGGCATTTAAATTCTGGAAAGATATATCTGTCGTATATAAACGTATTTCAGGCTGTCAGCATAAACCACAAAATTTATCTTCCAACTCTGTTTATTTCACCAAAATAATATTCTAATAAGAGCCCCCTCTTTCTAATTTTGAGAGCGCCCTGGGCGCTTATTACGTCAAATATGGTAATAGAAGGTTACTATGGGGTCTTGTGTACTTTAAGGTTGTTGTACATCTGTAGAACAGGGGAGCCAAGTATCTTCGTTTGTTTGGAGTTAAGATGGTGCCTTGTTATGACCCTATTGGGTGGATCGATGTTGATGATGTCAGTCACTGGATTGTCTGGTCCAGATTCGACTATTTACAGACCGCTGTCATATAGCTGGAATATTGCTAGTGTTATACATTTACAGGTTTTCCTTATGAGGACAATATTCAAAATACTTGATGACCACATAACTCAATTTACTTTTTTACTTTTTGATTTCTACTGACTCAACTTTGGAAAAATACATGTTAATATGATAGTTTGAAACAAAGAGTAATTTGTCATGTTTTGGTGTATTGTGCCACAAACTGACTGTATGACTGTCTGTAAGTATGTCAGTATAGGTTGAATACGCTGTGTAAATACAAGTCCCTTGTATGAAGAAGATGACAGTGTTGATGATCTGTGTATGGTTGCATTAATGATGTTTTACATTTTAGTCAAGTCAGCTACTTTTGTACTATTTTGTACTGGTTTGATAGATTAAGGCTTCTCACTAGATATTAGCAATCTTTAACACATGTATAATCAAAACTCTACCAAGTCGCAAATGGCAAGCGAACAGTTACAACCAAGTTCTCATTTCTTGTCAGGAGTTGTCTGTTAGCTGGGAGCAGTGTAGCCTTGTGGTTAAAGCGTTATCACTCAAGGACAAAGGCCTGGGTTTGTTTCCCCACATGTGTGAAGCCCATTTGTGGTGTCCCCTGCAATATTGGCAAAAGTGGCATTAAACCACACTCACTCACTCACTGTCAATATCATCGAGTGTGAACACAGCCATCTAATGAAGTCAGAACCTGTTTTCCCACTAACAAGTGACAAAACACTGTGTCCCCCACTCCCATCAGCCTCTCCCCAGTCCTACTGCAGACTCAGCTCTTATTACCCACCTTCAGATGGCCAGCTGGGAGACTTCAGTGGGGAATTCACTCCAAGACATAGCAGTAGCAGCTAGAATGTAGATCGTCAAGACAGGGCGCTCCTGCGGAGATGGGAAGTCATTTGTGAACTTTGAGCTGGTATTCCTGCTGTGGAGACATGTTGTTTTACTCCAATAATTCCAGAGATGTTGTTCTACCTCATTAGATCTTCAAACTTTGGTGTTGGAAGTCAGAGAATTACAACTTTTGTTGGCAGGAAGGTTTCTCGTTGAGCGTATTGTAGTGTTTCGCAATTACCGTCAGGCTGAGTATTCTTGTTGCTTTGTAACCAATGAAAACATTGAGGAGCAGAGAACAGTTACATGTTGGTGTTCTAAAACAGCAAGGGAAAGTTCAGAAATTGGTGAAATTGATTTTTTTTTATAATATCTACACAAGTGAGAAAAGTAATATCACAGGTCGAGGAATTATATTTGTCAGTTTTTTGGAATGAAAAACATGACATATATTTGACAGGTTAATCAGAATTTCAATTTTGAAATATTGTTATCCTCCCAACGGTTTTCCAGTCAGTAAAAACGAGGCCTGACTTTCGTACTACATATCTACAGTGAAATGAGAAGTCTTGCTGTTTCCAGCCAAGCCAAAGAGCATGTTCCTTCCACCAATATTGTTTTGACTGTATGCTCTAAGGCAAAAATAACTCATCATGTAAATATGTTAACTGATAGGTGACGCTAACCCAGGAGCCTATGATGGATTATGGGTTTACAGATTGATCGATCTTCGAGCTGTGTACTCAACATGTTAGCCAGGGTTTGGTTGATTGAAGTAAACAAGAAAGCAGTACTGTACACTCATGAAAGCAGTACTACATATTCATGTAAGTGTTATACAGCTCCAGCTTGTTAGTCACAAGAAACTGTATAACTCCCAGGGAGCTGAGAAGTTTGCTACACAGACACTATCACAGAATCTATGGACCATCATCATATATTTGGCAATTATGTATTTGGTATTTTATAAGTAGTTTCTCAGAGCCTCTGTAGTATAGGTTTTCAACACCAGAAAACAGATCAGTGATAGCTGTTTGACACAAGTCTTCTTGGGTTAGAAATCTTTCCTAGGCATACACACAAAATATGCAAACAATGTCTTGAAAAAAGTAACTTCGGCTTCTTCTTGCTAGGAGTAAAATGTCATAAAAATGTCATGAAATACAGTTATGAGAACTCTGAGAGTTGTCAGAGTGACTGGAGTGTCCACCCACTTGGATGCAGCTCATAGTTATCACTGAATGATACGACTCCCAACTCACCTGGGCTTCCATGGTTCTCTTTACAGAGCAACGTTTGAACATGTCTTCATTTACGACACCAATGTAGAATGTTTTACACTGACCCACAAATTGCCAGTAGACCAAATCAAAACCAAAACTGAATTTGCAGAATATTTTAGCAATAAATGCATCTGCTTTGAATTTGAAGTTATTCTCACCCCTCACTCAACTAAAGTGTAATATCCACAAGCACATGGTCAACAACTCTATTACAAAGACGTGTATTCATATTTATTTCAAATCAAACTAATTTTGATAATTTGTACCTTCACAACTGTTATCATGTGGACTTAAGTTAGATGTTCCATATATGTTATAGGTTTTGAGTTCTTAAGCTATCAGATTTTTGTCTGGAGTTTAAAGAATTCTTCCAAAATGTCATTTTTTAATTGTAACACAAAATGGCAGCCTCTGTATAGCATCATGCTTACTCAAATTGTAAAATACACAAAATCAACAATTCTGTAGGATTTTATGCGTTTTTCTGCTGTAATCAATTGAGGATCTCTCAGGTTAGAGACTCTTTAAGGCAGTTTTGTATCATTCACTCCTGTGCTTTTATACATTTTTAAATTACTGATCAGTTTATTATATCTTTTTATGTGTATATTTGTTTTGATAGTTATTGGAGTATTCATACTGCTTTTGTAATTAAAACTGCTGTTGTGTCAATATATGTTGACATGTAATGATTTCATTATTGTAAATTGAATGCTTGTTTTACAAACATCGAATGGTGATGTCACAACTAGCATGAACTTGCATAATAAAGAAATTGTCATCCTTTCTGAAACTCACAGGAAATAAAAAAGAGTGGAATCACATTGATATTTCGAGTTCCTTAGTATGTGTAGCTAAATCTTGAGTTATCACTTCCAGGAGAAGTTGTTGTTTTATTGCTACTTAATGTCTTCAGTATTAGATTGTGTTATGATTAAATTGGACAAACAGACATTCATCTCACCTCAGGAATGGGCAACAGGAATGGATGTTATTTAAGTGCACTGTCAAATGTAGTAAAGAACGGAGTCGGCGACAATTAGTGTCAAAGTGCTGTTTTGCAAGGCATTACTTAGAAGTTAACGGATGACAAAGTAGACACAATTTATGGATAACAACTTCTTTAATACCGTAAAAAAGCAACATTTCGGTATAGATCCTTATATCTGTCTTGCTTGACAACAGTATAAGGATCTATACCAAAATGTCGCTTTTTTATAGTATTAAAGAAGTTGTTATCCATAAATTGTGTCTACTTTGTCTTCTGCTCCTTTTTCTTGCCAACATCACTCCATTGTCTGTAAGTGGCATTTACAAAGTGGTATGAGGAACAAGGAGATAGGTCTATGGAGATACAACTTCATTGTTACAATGAAAGCGACGTTTCAGTGTAGATAAAGACGTATATCCAGAGAACGTTCTCCCTTGTTCAATATTACACCAGTAAATCTACATGCTCCATAACTTGATGTTTTCTAGGCTGTTTGGCTATGTAACAGTTTCCAGGTAGGTCAACAGTCCCATGTCATGTTTGGAATATTGGATAGTAGGATCCAATTTTTATAGCCCTGATGGAGATAGAGAGTCACAAGCTGTAACAAATTGACATGATGTATTGTCAGTAGTTCATACATTTGTGTGGGAGACATTTCAAAATCAGTGTAGACATGAAAATATTCCTTAAGTATTTATTGGGAATACAAATATAATTGATGAGCAATAATTAGATGTCTTAAATGACTGGTGCTTGGATGTCTTGGTACTGTGTAGACTTGCCATCACTATTGAGAAGTGGATATTTAATGTAGTTGGACGTTTTGTTGACACCTCTCTTTTCATGAGATATTTCCTGAAACCAAGTGTCTGTGCCACTCACTTTGATTACCAGCAGAAGAATGTTGAGATAGGATTACATTACTCAAAGGATGTCCAAACAATGAATAAACTTGTCCAACTTGTGGAACTTGTTAAAGGTTTGTTTTTGTTTACCACAGTTTGAAATGGATTGGATAAGTGCATGTATTTTTATAATCATGTTGATATTTAATTGCTACACATGAAAGCGGAGGTCATGAATGAGAGAAAGTATTGTTTGTATATAATCAGTTGCTTCATTATGATTAAACTTATTTGTCTTACAAACATGACTTGGTTATGTTTCCACTTTGCTTACATACCATATGGCTTAGTGGCATAAACAACTGACCCTTGGGACAAAAACGGGGTGCTCAAGTTCTGACAAAGTTGACGATGCCCAGGGGCTGTGATAGCAAAGTATAAACAGGGGCTGTGATAGCAAAGTATGGCCAGGGGCTGAGATAGTAGAAGATGCCTAGGGGCTGAGATAGTAAGGGATGGCCAGGGGCTGAGATAGTAAAGGATGGCCAGGGGCTGAGATAGTAAAGTATGGCCAGGGGCTGAGATAGTAAAGGATGGCCAGGGGCTGAGATAGTAAAGGATGGCCAGGGGCTGAGATAGTAAAGGATGGCCAGGGGCTGAGATAGTAAAGGATGGCCAGGGGCTGAGATAGTAAAGTATGGCCAGGGGCTGAGATAGTGAAATATGGCAAGGGGCTGAGATAGTAAAGTATGGCCAGGGGCTGAGATAGTAAAGTATGGCCAGGGGCTGAGATAGTGAAATATGGCCAGGGGCTGAGATAGTGAAATATGGCCAGGGGCTGAGATAGTAAAGTATGGCCAGGGGCTGAGATAGTGAACTATGGCCAGGGGCTGAGATAGTAAAGGATGCCCAGGGGCTGAGATAGTAAAATATGCCCAGGGGCTGAGATAGTAAAGTATAAACAGGGGCTGAGCTGTAAAGTATGGCCAGGGGCTGAGATAGTAAAATATAAACAGGGGCTGAGATAGTAAAGGATGGCCAGGGGCTGAGATAGTAAAATATGCCCACGGTCTGAGATAGTAAAGTATAAACAGGGGCTGAGATAGTAAAGGATGGCCAGGGGCTGAGATAGTAAAGTATAAACTGGGGCTGAGATAGTAAAGGATGGCCAGGGGCTGAGATAGTAAAATATGGCCAGGGGCTGAGATAGTAAAGGATGGCCAGGGGCTGAGATAGTAAAATATGGCCAGGGGCTGAGATAGTAAAATATGGCCCGGGGCTGAGATAGTAAAATATGGCCAGGGGCTGAGATAGTAAAATATGGCCAGGGGCTGAGATAGTAAAGGATGCCCAGGGGCTGAGATAGTAAAATATGGCCAGGGGCTGAGATAGTAAAGGATGGCCAGGGGATGAGATAGTAAAGTATGCCCAGGGGCTGAGATAGTAAAGTATAAACAGGGGCTGAGATAGTAAAGTATAAACAGGGGCTGAGACAGTAAAAGATGCCTAGGGGCTGAGATTGTAAAATTATGGCCAGGGGCTGAGATAGTAAAGGATGCCCAGGGGCTGAGATAGTAAAATATGGCCAGGGGCTGAGATAGTAAAGGATGCCCAGGGGCTGAGAAAGTAAAGGATGGCCAGGGGCTGAGATAGTAAAGTATGCCCAGGGGCTGAGATAGTAAAATATGGCCAGGGGCTGAGATAGTAAAGTATAAACAGGGGCTGAGACAGTAAAAGATGCCTAGGGGCTGAGATTGTAAAATTATGGCCAGGGGCTGAGATAGTAAAGGATGCCCAGTGGCTGAGATAGTAAAGTATAAACAGGGGCTGAGATAGTAAAGGATGGCCAGGGGCTGAGATAGTAAAGGATGCCCAGGGGCTGAGATAGTAAAGTATAAACAGGGGCTGAGATAGTAAAGTATAAACAGGGGCTGAGATAGTAAGGGATGGCCAGGGGCTGAGATAGTAAAGGATGCCCAGGGGCTGAGATAGTAAAGTATAAACAGGGGCTGAGATAGTAAAGGATGGCCAGGGGCTGAGATAGTAAAGTATAAACAGGGGCTGAGATAGTAAAAGATGCCCAGGGGCTAAGATAGTAAAATATGGCCAGGGGCTGAGATAGTAAAGTATAAACAGGGGCTGAGATAGTAAAGGATGGCCAGGGGCCTGAGATAGTAAAGGATGGCCAGGGGCTGAGATAGTAAAGGATGCCCAGGGCTGAGATAGTAAAATATGGCCAGGGGCTGAGATAGTAGAATATGCCCAGGGGCTGAGATAGTAAAGGATGGCCAGGGGCTGAGATAGTAAAGGATGGCCAGGGGCTGAGATAGTAAAGGATGGCCAGGGGCTGAGATAGTAAAGGATGGCCAGGGGCTGAGATAGTAAAGGATGGCCAGGGGCCGAGATAGTAAAGGATGGCCAGGGGCCGAGATAGTAAAGTATGGCCAGGGGCTGAGATAGTAAAGGATGGCCAGGGGCCGAGATAGTAAAGGATGGCCAGGGGATGAGATAGTAAAATATGGCCAGGGACCGAGATAGTAAAGGATGGCCAGGGGCTGAGATAGTAAAGGATGGCCAGGGGCCGAGATAGTAAAATATGGCCAGGGGCTGAGATAGTAAAGGATGGCCAGGGGCTGAGATAGTAAAGGATGGCCAGGGGCTGAGATAGTAAAGGATGGAGTGCAAGCTGTTCAGATTTCACCACTGAATCAAGTACGTCAGTAAAGATGTCCATGAATAAATGATATCTGTAACTATGGAATGTCTCAAAATATTATCACACTGTATTTATCTAATGCTGGAGGAATAACAATATCATTTGGTAATACCTTGGAAATACAAATACATAAAGTTGAGATCGAAGAAGATCATATTCTGACAAACGTCACTATAGATAGTATTTAAATAACTTTAGTGAATATTTATGGACCAAACTTATTATGGAAATACTGACAAATTCGAAAATAATTCCACTGTGGCCTGTTGAGAATGGAATTTCGCCCTGAACCCGTTAATAGATCTGCAAAACTAGAAGAACCCAAAAAACAAGAAACAAAACAGGGAATCGTACAATATAATTGATGTATGGAGTGAGTGAGTGAGACTGAATATGGTTTTACGCCGTTTTTAAGTAATATTCCAGTAATATTCCAGCAATATCACGACGGGGAACACCAGAAATGGGCTTCACACATTGTACCGATGTCGGGATTCGAACCCGGGTCTTCGGCGTGACGAGCGAATGCTTTAACCACTAGGCTACCCGACCGCACCTGTATGGAGAGAGATGAATACAGAAACAAACAAAATACATTGTGTCCCAAGACACTTATAATATAACTCTTGAGTGAGTGAGTGAGTGAGTGAGTGAGTTGGATTTAACGCCGCTTTTAACAGTATTCTAGTTACATCACGGCGTGTCAGCTTAATGTGGGAGGAAAGCCCGAAGTGATGCAGGTCTCAGACGTTTACCACTTCGGTGAAACCCACGAGCACGGGTATGGTGCTGACAAACCAAGAAACATAATCGGGGCGAACCGGGATTCAAACCCACAATCATAGGTTTCTGGCGTGCCCAAGGGACACAACTCCGCACAGCGAATCGCTCTTGAGGACTCACCAGATTATAAATCTGATGACTCAGCAAGTACTTATACTGACTCAAATCCATGAGTCATAACAGAGGAAGGGATACTGAAGATGTGACGTCACTTCTTTATCACGACGAATACTCGAACATGGGCCAATACTGAAGAAACAGAAAATGAATATGAAGTGATTGGAAAATACATCGAAAATGATCTAACTTCAAATTTAGAAACCGCTTTTTTCTTGAAATGTAATTTATAAAAATAAGATGTCAATCTCTTTTTAATCCCAAGCATAATAAATGTAAAGCGTTAGATGATAAAATATATATCTATAATGTTGTATAAGAGAAGATTTCCAAAATATTAGCGAGGCTAAACTTGCAGAAGTATCACAATATGAAGCTCATTTGGAACAGAAAAGGGAATTAGAGGACTCCAAATAAGAAACAAGTACAATGGTAAGAGCAGGGGGGAAACCATCTTGTTTTTTTTATCACTTAGAGAATAGAAACTACACCAGTAGATTATGGGTGGTACAGAGACAGGTGAAGGACAGAGAACCACGCCAACATCTACTGCATGTGGTCGCCCCCAACATACGTACGTAACCTGCAAACATATATTCAGAATATATGACCATAACAATGAAAAGAGGAGTAATTACATGTTAACTAAAAACAAAAATAACATTAGAGTAAAACTACTAACGTGTGAAAAATAGTAACATTTACGAAATTACTCTGAATGATGTTGAAAACAAACTTGGACAATATGCTGAAGACACAGAGCTATTTTTAGACGGCACAGAAGAGTGAGAATGGTTTACGCCGCTTTTGTCAATATTCCTTCAATGTCACGACGGGGGAAACCAGAAATGGGCTTCACACATACCCAAGTTGGGATTCAAACCTGGGTCTTCGGCGTGACGAATGGACCCTTAAACCACTAGGCTACCCGTCACCCTCGGAACACCCTCGGAACACCCCATAAAGCTCGGATGGGCAAGTCAAAACAAGGTAATTTGGCCTAGAAGTTTAACTTTACCGATGATCTGACATCGTTCAATAATATATATAACTATCAAGTAGCCAATTCCCTTCTTCCGATTACCCTGAACTAGAAATAAAGGACACCAGTGAGACCGCCTCATCTGTTTCATATTTAGATCAATGCATAAAGATTCAGAGTGACAAAACACTCTCCACAAGACTGTATGCCAAGAGGGATGACTTCAACTTTCCAATAGTCAACTTTACCTTCATGTCGAGCAATATTCCTGCAGCTCCAGTCGTTGGTGTCTATATTTCACAACCTTTGAGGTACAATCGAGCGTTATCTTTCTCCCAAGATTTCAAAGAGCGTCATATGACTCTTATTCCGAAGTTGTTTGATCAAGGTTACACAAAAGTAGGGCATATTCGAAATTACATTATTTGATTGTTGTTTACCCCACACGCAGCAATAGTCCAGCTATGTGATGGCAGTGTGTAAATAATCGATTATGGACCAGAAAATCCAGTGATTGACATCATGAGCATCAATCTACGTAATTGGGATACGAAAGACATGCATCAACCAAGTCAGAGAGGCTGGACCACCTGATCCCGTATATCGCCTCTTGCAAGCATGGGTTGCTGAAGACCAATATCGAGTGATGATAATGGATGGATAAGAAAAGGGTTGTTGGTTGGTTGGTTTGTTGTTTAACGCCGC